GAGAGTGTTGGCTATTTATCAAGGAACTGGAAATGTTTCTAAACCAGTAGTTTTAAAGTTAACTGAATAACAATCTTCCTTGATGTTGTATTCACACAGGAGGCTTCTGGGTAATAATTTCAAAGAGGTTCAGCAAATGTGGCTCTAGGTAAGAGGTGAGGGACAGGTCTTATTTTTACCCTTTCCAGAATCTAGCACCTTAACCCCACCCCCGAGCTCTTGCCACAGCCCTGTCTCCAGGCAGCCAGACACTTCCTTTCTACCACTCAGGGCTGCCAAGGACTGCCCTGACCCTCAGGCAGAACCCTCTTCACTCCCCATTGCCCCCCCAAACACTCCTCCTCCCCACCCCCACCCAGAGATAGATATTGAGTAAACTTGACTTTTTCATCTAAAACAACTTCTACCCATGCAATAAATCATAAAATAATAACTGTAAACTCTTATGTTGCTTATTTAGCCCTGATTTCATAATGTGCAGGACTCAGACAGCCCTGGTATTTCATCATATGCCACACTGAGTTGAACAGTATCTAAACACAACTCAAGGGGCACCTGGGTGGCTCAGTCAGTTGGGCGTCTGGTTCTTGGTTTCTGCTCGGGTCATGATCTCAGGGTCCTGGGATCAAGCTCCAAGTCCTGATCTGCACTCATTGAGGAGTCCACTTGAGGATTTCTCCCTCTCCCTCTGCCCCACTCCCTGCATGCAGGCATGCTCTCTTTCTCTCTCTCTCAAATAAATAAATAAATCTTTAAAAAAGGGGATTAAGAAAAATAAACACAACTCAAACTTCATTTGCTTCTAGAAAATACCATCAAACTACCTCAAGTGAGAACAGATTATAATACTTTTCACATCAGGGCATACATTGGAAATTCATTTCTAGCTACCTTGAGGCTGAGGGGAACCTGCAGCTCATTCCTGGCCTGCCATTCTAGTCCAACATCAAGTCCAGGCAGGCAGAAATATTCTCTCTCTCAAACAGCTAATGTCAACCCCACTGCCCCTCCTGGTTGCCCACGTCACTGAGAATGTTGGTACTGTCACAGCTTTTTTTTTTTTCCCTAAATCAATTGTCACTGCTTTCCTTTTGCTCTTAGAAAACCCAAGGCTAGAAGTCCTAACCAGGAGTTCAGTGGCTAAGAGCCTGGCATAAGCCTGGCTTAAATGTCTGATGGACTCGAGTTTCAGCACCAGCTTTGCTTCTTACTGGCCACATGATTTTGAACTACTTTGTCAACCTCTCTGTGCCTCAGTGTCCTCCTTTTTAAAATTGAGACACAGTATCTACTTTACAGGGCATTGCGAGTATTCAATTTCTTTTCTCCTCCTCACTCCTCTGCCTCCCCATGCTTCCCACCACCACCACACATTCTGTCAGAAGAGACTATGCTTGGGGCATCAGGGGACGGAAGAGAACAAAGCAAATAGATCGTGGCTTCCCAGGTGTCACGTTTCAGAAACTCCGCATCCTTAGAGAAACCAGAAAAGAAACACAGATTTGAAGAGGGGGCTTCTTATTTCTGCACAACCCCAAACAGAATAAAGCCAAAGCCAAAGCCAAACAAACTAAAAAAGATTCCCCTAGTTTGGGGTGCAAAGATGGTAGTCAGGAAGACACAGGGTTTCCTGGTTGGAAGAGGTAGCAGACTGGGCCAGATTCCTTCTGCTCTGCCATGCTCAGAGTGTGATATATAAAGGATGAAGAAGCTCTAGCCCAGGGGGCTGTCACTTGTCTCATAAAGGAATTCTGTAAATATTAGAAGTTTGGGTTGACCGGTAAGATCAGAAGGATGGAGACAGAAATTTTTTCTTACGCATCCTGAATTGCTCAGGGTTAAGGATACTCCACAAACATTCAGACATAACAAAAATCAAATCACTAGGGCATGTTGGGACATTTTATAGATTGCCTTCAAAGAGTAGTAAGAAAGCAAAGAACTTTAGAGAGCTCTTGGAGCGGGCTTATCACAAAGTAACGAAGGCCTAGGGCCACTTCCGTTCTTTTTTAGACCCCTGGGATATTAAAGTAATTAATAAATAACAAAAAATGGTGTTTTAGTTGTCTATCATGGCCTAGCCGACTACCCCCAAACTGAGTAGCTTACCACACAGCCATTCATGGGCTCACAACGTTGCAGTTTGGGTAGGGCTTTGCGGGGACAGCTCATCATCTCTATTCCATGTAGCATATGGGGGTTTGGATGGGCTATGACATGCCTGATGGTCTCTCATGCTCCAGAGTCTCTCTCCATGTGGCCTCTCATCACCCAGGGGTCTAACCCGAGGTTCTACCATGGGTGATGGACTGCAAGAAGGTAAAGGAAGGGGCTGCCGGGCCCTTTAAGGCCTAGACTGGGAATTGGCACACTATCGTCAGTCCCATCACATTCTATCAGTCGAAGCAGGTCACAAGGCCATCCTGGATTTAAGGGATGGAGAATAAACTCCACCTTGGATTCCAGGAGCATCAGGAGCCTACAAAGAAAGAGTTGTTCACAGTCGCGTTTGGAGATGGTCTACCCTACTTGTAAAAATTGTGGTGTACTTTAAGTGTTTACACTTGGGCGCCTGCATGGCTCAGTCGTTAAGCGTCTGCCTTCAGCTCGGGTCATGATCTCAGGGTCCTTGGATCGAGCCCCGCATCGGGCTCCCTGCTCAGCGAGGAGTCTGCTTCTCCCTCTTCCTCTGTGCCTACGCCCTGCTCATACTCTCTCTCTCAAGTAAATAAATAAAATCTTAAAAAAAAAATAAATGACTACATTTAACACATTAATACTTTTAACATAAAAGTACGCAATGATTATCCAATAACCTCCGTTGAAGATATCATTATTCTAGATTTCAGGTGGGGCCCTAAGAGCCCTTCTTGCTTCTCCTGTCTCAGAGTCTATTGTCCTGGAGCCTTTTTCAGAGTTTGTGAAGGAAGTTTGTTCTCTTTCTGAGTCTTGAATGACTGAGTTTTGCAGCAGGCACCAATAGTCATTCATTCACAAGGGTGCTTGTTCTTCTCAAGTTCCTGTTCTTCTGATTTTAGGTATAGAGAGGTCACTGGGAAACTTCCTGCTTGTCTCTCTGCCAGGGCATCAGCCTCCACACCTCACCAGTAGCAGCAGTAATCTCCGTCTGACCCTCAGGAGAGTGATGATCAGGGGGTTATTAGTCTGTGTACCTGCCATGTAGCCACCACTCCCTATATAGAGAGTTGAGTCTCACCTGTAGAGTGAAATGATTCTAGAGCACCAAAAAAGACGTAACGATGCCAATTAGCAGTGGCGGTGACATGTCGTATAGAAAATAAGGAGGATGTTCCAAGGGGCTTTGGGAAGCTTGTAGGAGAATGTGGGGGCTTGAGGCCCGTCCCTATGTGTAGCTGCCATGGGGTGGAGAAAAAGACAGAACTAAACCGAAAGCCAGCCAGGCCAGGTGCTAAAAGGCTGTGTCAGCTCTTTATGATATGACAGAAATTACTGTGGGATTACAGACTGCTATTTGGGGAACATGGGTTCTTTTTTTTTAAGCTGTTTATATTTTCTGTAATTAGGTCCTTTTGTTAGTGTTTAGTGCATTTTTTAAATGCTAGTCTGGTCAGCTGTGCTAAGAGGAACCAAGAAAGAGGTTTTTGTCCAGCTTGGACGAGAGTTTTAAAGGGGAAGCAGCTTACCAACCGCCTGACATAGTGGAAACAATGGAGTGGTGTTGCCTGAGTGAGAGAGCCTCAAAGGGAAGGTAAACTGAGGGCAACGGAGTTGGAAACCCTTGTTCAGGATCCCTCCCCACACCGAGATGTATTTCTCAAATCTGGGCCCATTGCTCCATCCGCACAGTTTGTTACTGCCCTAATGGACCAGACAAGAGGCAAAAAGGGATCTCAATGAACAATGAGAAGGAAGACTGCCCCGGGATTGGTGGCCTAGGACCACCTAGGGTGTTAGCTGTGGAGTTTGCGCTCAAGATTGGGCTAGCAAACAGAAAATCTAGTCTGGGGTATGGAGGAGGAAGGGTTCCACTTGAGCATGCACTGCTGGGAGCCAAACAGGAAGGAAGGTCACCAAATCTTTTTTCTAGTTAATGAGGGAGAGGACACACACAGACTGCAGAGGACCCCAACCATTGCCCAGGCAGGGGACAAGCAAGGGTTAGTGGGCTAGCATGGTCCCTTAAGCAAAGTGGGGCACAGGGAGAGCTAAGGGAGATAGCTGGAATCTAAAGCAGAGATGGGGGCAGAATAGAACATTACCATGGCAGGAGTAGGGGTAGGGAAAGGCTGCTGGCGGGGGGGACATGAAGACTGGGGCCACCCAGGCACTGTGGGCATGAGGCTTGGAAGAGCTGAATCATTCCAGACCTCCCCCCTCCAGCCTGCCTCGGGGCTACTGCTCGGTAGAGCTGGGAGTGGGCACCCCTGTCACTGTCAATGTCCCAAGTTCAGGACCACTCTGCTCCATATGTCTGGGGCCCATGACTCAAATGGCTGGGGACAGCAAGGGGCTGGCAGTGCATCTCTCTTCCTGCAGGCTCAAGCCATCTCTCTATGGTCTCTCCGGTTTCTCTCCAGCACAGAGGTCTCAGGGTAGCTAGACCTAAAGGTGGCTCAGGGCTCCAAGAGCAACAATTTCCAGATGCCCCAGGCAGAAAGAAATTGCAAGGCATTTATGATCTGACTTCAGAAGTTCCAGGATACGTGACTTCTACCATATTCTACTGGTTTAACAAATCACTAAATCCAGCCCAAATTCAAAGGTAAAAGGTATAGATCCCACTTCTCAATAGAAGGAGTGTCAAAGAATCTGCCACCATTTTAAATGCATCTCCCTGAGTCCTTAACAAAGTCTCCCCGCTGAACTAACTGCCTGTCTGCAGATTCTCATTGACGGCAGCTGGGAGGCAGCAATGCCCAGGGTAGAAAAAGCAGGCGCTTTGGAGGACACCAGCCTGCGTTCCTGTCTAGGCAAGGATCCACCATTCAGCAACTGGTTGAGCTTGTTAGGTTACATACCTTACAGAGCCACGGTTTCCTCTTGTGAGACAGGAATAATACCATTATAGCGACCAAGAAAATGTACTTCTCAGATCTTCCAGTGCAGAGCACAACCGACCAGTGGATCTGTCCCAGAGACTGAGATCGGAAATCTCTCCTCTGATATTTATCGCCAGCTTGGTGCAGAGGCCATCTTGCCGCGGCTGCTCGCAGCCCATGACTAAGTACGAGAGGTCTATTCCTGGGAGATGCTGGACTCCTGGGATAGGCCAGTGTGGCTTGAGGAACCCCCACAGCCTTGCTGAACTTTCTTAGAGCTGCACTGTAGTATAAGAAGCTTCCTTCCATACAACCGTCCTTCCTTGCTTCTCCACATAGCTCACACCTGCATCCCAGGTCCAGCTTCCTGTGTATGTTCCCTCATCAGTCTCTTGCAGAGTGTTCCTGTCTAACACTGCATTTGGGGGGGGGGGGGGCGGGGGGATGGGACAAACAGCCACCAAGTCACAAGATTGCTGTATTAAATAAATGGGTGTGTGTAAGCACCTAACCAAAGGCTGGCCTATGGTTGACATTCATTCAACGAATACTGAGTCCCTGCTGTGTGCAGGCTTTAGCCTGTTTGTCTGGGACATAATGGTGAGCAAAGCAAATAGGAACAATGTCATGGCCACCTGCTTGACGCTTCTTCCTGAGTCTCACTGCTGAGGGATAAAGTCCCAACTCTTTTATGGGACACAAAGAGCCTTTCAAAGTCTGACCCCAAGGGACCTCACCACCACCCCCACCCTATAGTCTGTACACCTGAGCCTAGAAGGAAAAGGAACTGCCTCCTTTCCTCTTTCCATCTTACTCTTTCATCCCCAATGTCTTAGCACTTTTTCCTCCCCTTGAAATGCCTCCCTCCCTTGTACACACCCCTCACATGACAAACCCTTACCCATCCTCCAAGATTCAGTTCAACTGTGGGGTCTTAGGTCACGCGCCCAGAATACGCTTGTGGGCACAAATCTCAGCATGCACCTCATAAAAGCACCTGTAACATTGTGCAGTAATGGCTGTAACAGTGTCCCTGCTAACCGGGGAGCTAGTCTAGAGCGGGGGCCAAGGTGGTATCCACCCCGAATCCCCAGTGCCTGGCACTCGGGAGGCCCGCAGTTCACCCCTGCTGAGCGGGTGAGTGAATGCGCCGGGGAGCACAGGCCATTTTCCGGGGTGACCGAGGAGCCGGGAGCGCAGCCGGGCCGGGCCGCGGTCGGGGAGCCGCAGGCGCCGGGGGACCGCCCGGGACGCGCGCGGCTGGCCAGGGCCGAATCGCGGCGCCCGCCGCGGGGCACATGACTGCGGGCTCAGCCTCCGCCCCGCCCGCTTCCCCGCGCAGCTGCCTGCTGGCCGTCGCCTCCCGGGGCTGCGGCGAGCCGGGTCGGCGAGCGTCACCGCCCTGCACGCTCCCTCTGTCCCTCCCGACTGCGCGGGGCGGGCGCCCGACTGCGCGAGCGAGGGAAAGCGAAAGCGAAGCGGGTCGTTCCCCTCGCCGGCGGCCAGCCAGGTGCACGGGAGCCGGCAGCCCAGCCGCCGAGCCGGGAGCCGCGGGCGCCGCACGGTCGCGGGTGTTCAGGCCGCTGAGCGGCGGCGGCCCCTCCCTCCTTCCTGCGCCGGCGCCGGCCGGCGGGGCCTGGCCCGGTAGCGGCGCGCAGGATGGGCAGGTGCTGCTTCTACACGGTCGGGACGCTGTCCCTGCTCCTGCTGGTGACCAGCGTCACGCTGCTGGTGGCCCGGGTCTTCCAGAAGGCCGTGGACCAGACGATCCAGAAGGTGAAGCGGGCGGGCTGTGTGTGTGTGTGTGTGTGTGTGCGCGCGGGCGGGCTGGTGTGCGCGCTCCCGTGTTGGGCGGGGGACACTTCCAGCCCACCCCCCGAGGCTGAACCTCGTACAGGGAATCTCTGCGCCCTGGCAGACCCTCCGGATACAGCCCTCCTTTCTTAGTTGTCTTGTCGGGGTAGATAGGTAAGGGTTAAAGAAGGATGGAGAGGAGTAAGATAAAACTGTGGATCTAGACTTTTTAGAAAGGTTTTCACTTACATTCTATCTTTTGCCTCCCCCTCTACGCCCTCCCTACGCCCCAGTCTCTCCGGCCCAAACATCTTTCCCTCCCACTTAATGAAAAAACAAGACTAAACGAAAACACTACAGCCCAGGCAGGTTTGTTGGCTGCTTGCTGACCTTTGAAGTGGTGTGGGGCAGGGGATGCCAAGCGGCTGTGCGATCTATTGTGTTCTTGCCTTCCTGGACTGGGCAGGGCTGTTGGTAGGGAGGCCAGGCCTCTGGGCTGGGTGACATTTCAGTCCATCAAAGTCTGTGCTGGTTTTCCTCCGACTAAACATGTGGTATCTCATACCAACAGTCTGGGTTGCTTTGTCTCACCATGGATTCGTGCTCTTCTTAAATAACCGTAAGCTTCAGGCAAGGATGCATTTAGATTCTGAAAGAATCTGAACCTGTCTCTTACCCTAGATGGGTGGGTTGGAGAGCTGGTCATTTCAGATTTCTGAGTCATTTGACTTTCCCAGTGCTCATTCCTTCTGCCTTTCACCCACATCCACCAATCTGTGTGGAAAGAGGAACAAGAGAGAGTTACTGGGATCACTTTTTCTTTAAAAAAAAAAAAAAAAATCATTGGAGCAGGCTTTCTTGTTAGCACCCAGAGCCCCATGGTTTGCACTTGCTGTTGCCTGGATTAAAAAGCCAGTTTGATCACCGAACTCCCAGTTAGTCAAGTTGTCTCATTCAGGTGGCAACAGACATATTCCTTTAATAGAGGTTGCCAAAAGCCATCAATTACTTGAAATCTGGCAGTTAAAGGCAAATTAAAAAAAAAAAAGTCATGGTAAAGCATAATTTAATTTTAAAGTTCACGTTACTGTGGGAGGATGAAGCTCGCTGTCTGAACTTCTCAAAGACCACTGTTTTCCCTGAGCACCTGTGTTCAAGGAAAACCAAATATAATCTTCTCTATTTCTGGCCACTTGCAAATCCATGGCAAGATTATTTAAGGATATAAACTCTTGGGGCGCCCAGGTGGCTCAGATGGTTGGGCATCTGCCTTCGGCTCGGGTCATGGTCTCGGGGTCCTGGGATCAAGCCCCACATCGGGCTCCCTGCTTGGCGGGGAGCCTGCTTCTCCCTCTCCCTCTACTGTTCTCCCTACTTGTGCTCTCTCGCTCTCTCTGCCAAATAAATAAATAAAATCTTTAAAAAGAAAAAAAAAAGTTTCAAAAAAAGGATATAAACTCTTGCTTGGATGACCAGAGTTAAGCAATCCAATTATAGTCAGTATGTGAATCTTCTTGTGTGGTTTTAGAAGGCTGTTTCCGGAGAGCCCCATGAGATGAGTGGTCTCCCTGGTGCCTCAGATATTACCAGCCCTCAGATGCTCTGTGGGTCTCCATTTCATGGGCAGGTAGGGAGGTGGCTATAAGGCAGCTTGCCTGGGCCTTGAGTTTGCATTGATAGTTGATGATTGGCTTTTTTATGTGGTCTTCTCTGTGAGGAATGGACTCTGATCAGACTAATAAATTATAGTACAGGGGAAGTGGATTTTCAGAATTGCCCCACCCCATTATGGAACACTGAACAGCATGGCGTATGAAATTAGATGACAGGGCTAGTTCAGCAGACAGGAATATTGTAAGTCAGCCAGAGGTCACGCATTACCATCATTACCATTCCCCTCTCCTGGGTCACCTGTAGAGTGGTAGCATGGGATAGTGGGACAGAGTGAGGACTCTGCAGTCCACACTCCTCCACATGAATCCTGGCTCCACCATGTACTAGCTGGGTGACCTTGGGCCAGGTGCTTCCCCTTCCTTGATTCTGGGCCTCCCTGTCTGTAAATGGGAATAATAACAACTCAGGAGAATAGAGAGGTTATAAGAATTATCAGGGAAAATGGGTAATTTTCATTAGTTTCATTAGGATATAGTTAGTGCTTTGTAAAGAACTTTTGTTTTTGTTAGAAGCCACGTGAGTAGACAAAATACATGAGATTTGGGGTCAGACACCCTGTGTTCAAATCCCGACCTTACCGTTTGCAAGCTTTTTGATTCTGGGCAAGTTACTTAACCTCGCTGAGCCTCAGTTTCATTACTTGGGCAAGTGAGGACGTTAGCTATCTTAGGCACAGTGGTGCATTTACTGGGAATCACACAAAACTTACGCTTCAGGTCCTCATTTGCACAGGCTCTTCCAACACTCGGTACCTAATTCTGTATGCAGAATTTTCTTTTTCTTAGGAAGGGTCTCCTCACGACGTGTAAGCTTCCCACGAACCCGGGACCTGCCTGTGTGTGTGCCGTTGGGAGACTGAGCGAGCTACCCCGTGTAAAGCAGCCAGCACAGTATCAGGCAGGGGATAGCTGAGCAGTCATGGCTGCCTCCGTCATGTCCAGAGGTGTCGTCACGAAACAATTCCTTCATAACTTGACCTTAGTATAGTTGTAATGAAATCCACCCTGATACTCCCAGTTCTTAGGGTTTTTTTCCATTTGAAGATTATCCATGCCCTGGCTTGTCTATATCAAAAAAGAGAAGAGAGGAAAGGGGTGCCATTCAAATGAGTAGGTTTGGCTGATTGTGAGAAGCGTGGTAACATAATTTCTTTTTGTTTGTTTTTTTTAAAGGTTTTATTTACTTATTTGACAGAGAGAGACACAGCGATAGAGGGAACACAGCAGGGGGAGTGGGAGAGGGAGAAGCAAGCTTACCGCGGAGCAGGGAGCCCGATGCGGGGCTCGATCCCAGGACTCCAGGATCACGACCCGAGCCGAAGGCAGACGCTTAACGACTGAGCCACTCAGGTCCCCCGGTAACATAATTTCTATTAGGATAATTTGCAGGGAAGATTTTAAGATTAAAGGGAGATTTACATTTTGGCCAGTGAATGGAGTGGAAGGAACCAAGACAGTTTGTTCCATTCTTGGCCCCACTGGTTACCGCCTTGTATTGGGCAAGCCCTACAATTTGTTCTGCTTCAATTTTCTCAATTGCAAAACAGGCATCGTAATGTCTCCCTCTTTGTTTGCTCACACCCACTTCTTGGGGGATATTCTGAGCAAGTGTTCGTTTTGGGTTTTTTTGTTTTTGTTTTTTAAGATTTTATTTATTTATTTATTTGAAAGACAGAGGGGAGGAGCAGAGGAAGAGGGAGAAGCAGACACCGTGCGGAGCACAGAGCCCGACACCAGGCTCCATCTCAGGACCCTGAGATCATGACCTGAGCCAAAATCAAGAGTGGGAAGCTCAACTAACTGAGCCACTCAGGCATCCCTGAAGCATTTTGACTGCCCTAAAGACAGAGCTCTTAAGAAACCATTCAATCTCTGTTTCCTCCCCAGAGCCTGGAAGGGCAGAATTTTATGTTCTGTCTCGCTTGGTAAGGCCACTAATTGTCCTGGCATCTAGCACAGTGCCTGGTCCAAGGTAGGTACACAGTAAATGCCTGTTGCCTCACTTTTGGTCATTTGAGTTGAAAGAACGGTGTTCTAGGAATCAGCAGACCTCGGTGAAAATTCTTTTTTTTTTCTGTCACTAGCAAATATTTGGATTAAGTTGAGCAAGCCAAGTAGCAAATATTGAACCCCTCAAAAGCTCAGGTTTCTTACTTTGAAAGTGGGAGTGATAAGAATACCTGCCTTAGGGTTGTTGCAAGAATGACATGAAAGGATTGACCTAGAACATCTAGCACAACATCTTGCAAAATGCCCAAATATTAACAGTTGTTATTGTTTGTAGCTATTATTTTGTCATCTGTGAGCTGAAGCTTAGGTAGTAGATAAGTTTCCTTCTCCTTCCAAACTTCTGAGCCTCATGATACAGGCATGTGAGCTTTGTTCAAGAGCAGCTATGCAGCTCAGAATATTAAATTTGCCCCTGGACTCACCGACAGTTTGAATATCTCCCAGAAATGGGAATGCAGAGCCAGCCAGAGTCCGGGCTGGCTAAAAAGAAAAGGGCTGGCAAGGGAACCAGTAGAAGGAAAGAAACTGTTCACATGTTTTGCTTCCTATTCACAGGCCAAAGAAGGATGATAGCATTAGGTGTCAGGAACGAGGTGAACGGGACAAATATACTTATCCTTGGCCGGGACCTGAGACTCTGGGCACACAAGAACAGCCAGCCTCTTTTGGGAGCCATAGAACTTTGGAGCTATTCTGCTGAGGCCTCAAGAAATAAAATAGAATCATTGATAATTTAACCAAATAACATTAATGGTGAATATGTGGGAGTCTTCTTTTTTAAAGTCGAATTAGCTAAACATCTTCATATATGTTTATGTAAAGATGATCAACTATATGTAATCTTTTATTTTATTTTATTTTATTATGTTATGTTAGTCACCATACAGTACATCGTTAGTTTTTGATGTAGTGTTCCATGATTCATTGTTTGCATATAACACCCAGTGTTCCATGCAGAACGTGCCCTCTTTAATACCCATCACCAGGCTAACCCATGCCCCCACCCCCTCCCCTCTAGAACCCTCAGTTTGTTTCTCAGAGTCCATAGTCTCTCATGGTTCATCTCCCCCTCCGATTCCCCCCCTTCATTTTTCCCTTCCTGCTGTCTTTTTTTTTTTTTTAAACATATAATGTATTATTTATTTCAGAGGTACAGGTCTGTGATTCAACAGTCTTAACACAATTCACAGCGCTCAACTATATGTAATCCTAAAAGACTCCTTCTTGCCTATCTACCTCATCCCCCAAATTGCCTCTTTTCAGGGTTATGAAGACTTAGAACCTTAGAATAAGAAAAAACCTGAAGCATTACTGAATCTGTTATTTTATAGTTGAGGAAACTGAGCCCGTATCAGTTTTAAGATAGGTGGCGGTGGGTACCAAATTGCCTTTATATTAATGTGCCACTGGAAATGTAGATAATGGAAGGCCAGATGGAGAGGTAGGGGTAGGGTCAGGCATGCAAGCTGGGTGTCCTAAATCACTTTTCCCATCCCAAGGATGACCATAGAGCCTGTTGCCTGCAACAGTCCTGGTTTATTTACATCTGTTGTCCTGGCATAATTATTAGCACCCTCTTTTCTTTTAAAAGATCCCTGGTTTGGACAATATGTTCTATCCCCAATACCACACTGTCCTCCACTTCTTAGCAATAAAGAGGAGCAAGGAGCTAAAGCCCATTCAAGCTGTCTTCAGAATGATTGGATTTTTTTTTTTTTTCTTTTTTGTAAAGCTGGAAGAGGAAGCTCATGGGAGTCTAAGGGTGAGAACCACAGGCCAGTAAGCCCTCCTGAGAGGACAGTAGAAACTGGAAAGTCAGCAGGACCCAGGCATACTCTGTATCTCCCACTGCTTCCTCGGTTTTTCCCTACCAAAGTGTTTCCTCTGTTGACTCACTGTGCCCAGGCTGTTTACTCATCGAGGGCTTCCTCAGCCCCAGCCCTATGTGATGCTTCAGCTGCTGAGCCTCCCAAGAGCAGGCTTTATCTCTTGGTTTCTCCTTTCCAAATGTGTAACAGAGTAATGTGATTGGCTCAGCACAAGCAGAAATCACAGATCCTTAAACAGAGGCACTATCCTTGCAAGATTCTTTAACTCCTAAGCAAAATTATCCAACTCCTCCCTGGCTTTTAGAAACATGATCTCGTGATATCAAAATCATATTACGTTTCTTTTAGTATCTCACTAATTCATGGTGACCATGAGTGCATTCATTATTAATGGTTAAGGCAATGGAGTAAATCGGTAGGTCTCAGTATAGTCCCTAGACTCTAGGAACTGCATCAAAATCACTTATAGAGTTTCAAAAATGCAGATGATGCCAGCATTGCTGAATCAGACTCCTTAGGACTGGCCCCCAAGTTAAAAAACTAACCATGCAGCCCATGACTGGTTTGGATGGTGATTATGGCAGCCCACATCTTTATTCCTTGAGATGGCAATTCCTTTTTTTTTTTAACCTTTGTATTTTATTCTTTATTTTTGTTTATTTTTCTGATAAGAAATACATGCCATTATAAAAAGTCAGATACAACAAAAAATAATAAAGCAGAGATAACTACTGTTAACCTAGTGTTAACTATTCCACATTTTTATTTATGCATGTATAGTAACAGATACACTTTACAAAAATGGGGTGCTTCTATTCCCACTCTTTATTTACTTTTAATTTCATCTGGTATAGTTGACATCTGAAAGAGATGATAATTCCAGTTGAGGACGTTACTACTAGTGGTTACTATCATTTTTCAAGTTTACATTAAAGGAAGGATTTGGTAGGGGGAGGGGAAGTGTGTTGCTTGTGAGAACCGTTCTTGCTTTCTTAATAAAGTGCAAGATTTCATTCTGTCAGGCCGCAGCAAAGGGGCCATCTGTTCTGCCAGACTTTTGCTTGTTTCCTGGGGGAGAATCAGCAGGTGGGATTGTAAGATCATTAATGCAAACATAGGATGTTGGCCAAGTGACTAGGCATTTATGGCCTGTGTCATCAGGATATATGCTCTACATACATGGTCTACTAAATGCAGGGACCATTTTTCATCAAAGCTGGTAACCAGTCAAAAGCAACTGAGGAAAATAAGGCCACTTTTTGGTGTTTGCTGTCTATATCTAAAAGTACTTTTATGTATATGCTTTGGCAGTCTTTCATTTATTTAGCAAATATTTACCGAGTGTGGACCATTTGTGCGGCAATGTGCTAAGGAGCTATGGATGCAAGAGTAAAGTAGACATAATCCTACCCTTGCAGAATTTAGACTCTAATTCAAATTTGGCGGGCTCAGGCCCCTTTACACTCTTCAGTTGAAGACCCCAAAGAACTTGTGTTTCTGTGAGTTATAGCTATCAGTATTTACAATATCAGAAATTAAAACTGATAAATTTTTAAAGCACAAGAGTACACAGCACGTATTAGCTGTCAGAGCAATGACATTGTTACATGTCTGCTGGCCTCTAGAAAACTGCACTCTACACTCAGGAGAGAATGAGTGTGAAAAGGGCAAATAATGTCTTAATATTATTATGAAAATAGTTTTCACTTTGTGGACCCCCTGAGAGGGTCTTGGGGCCCCCCAGAGGTCCTCAGACCACACTTTGAGAGCTGCTGATCTAGTTTTCATTTAATTAATTATGCTGATTTTTAGATAACTTGAAAAAATAACATAGTATCTCTGTTATATTTCTGTAAGAACAGTTTGGAAACTATGTTATTAATGTTTTCAAGCCACCAGGACTTTGTTTAGTGTGTTGTACATACCTTCCTTTAGTTTCCACACAAGTCCATGGTTAAAGGTAGTAGTTTGGGTCCTCGGTGATGCAGGGTCAGTGAATCATTGTCTTCCCTGTGTGCTAATCAAACTAGACTGGACCATCAGCATCTCTATAATAGAATTATTTGAAAAGTCCCCTCTGGCGTCAGCCCTGCCTATGACAATGTCAATCCCTAGGACATAGTTTGGTACTTAAGGCTGGCTTGAAAGCTCTCTTTGAAGGTGGGGACCCTGCCATATTTAGCTTTGTATCATCTTCCCATTCCAGCAAGTGCCATGTCATACATAGTAGATGTTCAGTAAGTATTACTTGGATGAATGCAAGGATGCGTAGATGAAAATTTACATACTCGGGGATGACCTTGTTTGCATATTATTGTTCATGTTGTTGTTTATCTTCACATTTTTATTATGCTCTAGGCCAGTGGTCATTGCCTCACTATACCTTTAAAATCTAGAAGCTTCACCCAACAATCCAGCTTTCCAGCTTCACCTGAAGCATGTGGATGCTCTGCGTGCTAGCCTCACCACAATCCTGTGTGGCAGCCGTCTGAACAGAATGAGGCTGCCCTTCAGAGGGGACCTCCCTCCCTGTGCCCATGGACCCTCCCATTCCTGCCGGCTCCCTAACTCGGAGGCCCAGCGAAGGTGCCCTTTGTGTCATTGTGTCTGCCCTGTTGTCTTTCTTAGAGCAGAGAAATATCTGTTTGTACCCAAACCTCTTTACCAAAAGAAGGGAAATGGAAGAGGCTGAGAGAAAATGAAAGAGGGCATAGTTCTATGGAGAAGTGAATATTATTGCTAGGGTTTGACATCAAACAAATGGGCAAACTTGCATCCACTTCACTCACCACACCCACCTGACCCCATCAAGCATCTGAGTTTTACACTCTTTCTAGAGAAATAGAGGCAGAATGCCATTGTTAGAAGAGCATAATCACTCGTGCAAGTCCCACTTTAAGGGGAGTTGCTTTTAATGCTGTACTTCTGATAATCAGTGGTAATGGAAGGAAGAGGAGCCCAAGTTCGAAATAGGTGATGAAAGCGTCACTTATATCAACTCAGAGATATAATCACAACCCAGCAGGTTGTAAAATAATCAGAGTAGCTCCACAAGTTACACACAGAACCGGGCATTGTTTTCATGGGCACCCTTCTTCTTGATTCACATCTTAAAAATCCTCTTTCTCATCTACTCCTTCAACCACTCCCTCTGCACACACATCTGGCCACCTGGTCCTTTTGATTCGGTTTCCATCTGGTGGCTGCTTTCTCTCCCTCTGGGCTGGCAGTTCTCAGCCTTGGTTTCACATTTATTATTATGTGGAAACATTTAGAGTGTGGTCTAGCGGGTGTTCTGTAGCAGGAGCTTTTCAGGATAACTGGTCCACCCCGTTGTCCTGTCTGTCATTTATAGACAGAGTAACAGCCTTCCACGTGAACGAATGTTGGAACATCAACTGTCAGATCTCATTAGCTGAAATTATTACAATTGCAATTAGAGCAAAATGAGCTCATCAACAGTGACATTAAAAAAAATGCCAGTGCATTTGTTCTTGAGTGAAAATAAGGTCAGAGAATTAGGGTAGAATGTTAATGGCAGCTTATTTCTTTTACCTCAACAGAGAATAAAAAAAGGTAAGCAGTGCAAAGGGCTTACATTACTACAAGAGTCTGGATTGGGTTTGCTTCATTTCAGGGAGAAATTTTATTTATTTATTTATTTTTAAGATTATTTATATGAGAGAGAGAGCGCGTGCACACACACCCCCACACACATGGTGGGGGAGGGGCAGGGAGAGAGGGAAAAGCAGGTTCCCCACTGAGCAGGGAGCCCGATGCGGGACTCAATCCCAGGACCCTGAGATCATGACCTGAGCCGAAGGCAGATGCTTAACCCACTGAGCCACCCAGGCGCCCCTCAGGGAGAAATTTTAAGAAAACAAAGCAAACAACCTGGTATTTTGATATTTGGTGAGTTTTATCAACCTGGAGTCTAGTGAGAATCATTCACATGCGATTAGGGCAGGTTGTCAGCGTTGGTCTGCATTATCTCTGGGTGAATGCAGACCGTGTAGATGGCTATATGGATGCTCAAGTTGTGTTTAATTATTAACTAGCACTCTGTTGAACTAAAAGAACAACCAGCAGCGCTCTTGAGTCCTGCAAGTTGCCTTAATGGTTTTACCTATTCCCATCCAAGCCTAATGCAGGTCCCTCGGTGCTTGTTCTTAACATTTGCAAGTGGCTTATACCAGGACAGCTGGTTCAGCAACCCTCCTAGTGCTGCCTTCCTGAAAGATCTCTATCCGGCTGACTTGGATGTGTTGTGTCTTGTGGCTGTATCACGTCATGTCAGCCCCCACACGAAGCAACTAATCCAGCTTCTACCTGGGGAGCGGCGTGGGTGGTTGAGTGTCACTGGCGCAAAAAAGTGCCTATGAGGGAGTGACAAACGGTGGCAGGTGACGGGCTGCGTCCCCTGAGTGGGGCAGGGGAAGGATCTCGGACTTGATCCTGTGAGCACTGGAAGGACCTCGGACTTGATCCTGTCTGCTCCCATAGGCCACTTTTGACAGAACTGTCTGGAGGCTGAGGTGGAGAATGGATTTGAAAGGAGCCTGGAGAAGAGATCATCTATGGTATTGCTGCCGCCCAGGCCACCTCTGGGATCAGGAGTAGAGATGGAGATGAGGAGGATAGGATTTAGGATTGATGAGGGGAGAAAAATCAAGTCGGTTTTTGGTCACGTTGACTTTCCGCAGCCTGTGGGATGTCCAGATGGGGATTTTAGGATGGATCCATACAACTGAGATGACCCAAATAATTACCCTCTTTGGGCTGAATTCCTGAGCCTCACACATCATTGTTCACTGGCTGCTTCGTCATGCCAGTTTTGTGTCCTTAGCTAAATTTCTTTGTGAGAACAGCCTATGTCTGTTGGGCACATAGAAATCTCTCAATCTATACGTATTGACTAATAAGCCGAAAATAAGTTTTTTCATTTAAATGATTAATTTGGTTGTTGACACTGCAGATTCACCACCTGACTCAGTAATCTTTCCAATCTTTCTTTTGGTAGTAGTACTACAATATTATGCCTGGAAAAATCCATCATGTTCTACTTGGCTAAAATTTATAAGCAATATCCAAAGTCACATGGTAAAACTGATTTAGGACCTTGCATTGAGGTTTCATTTAGTGTAACTGGAAAACTCGGTTGATCACAGGGTTTGTGTGGTAACTGTCACTACCGGGGCAGAATCCTCCGTGAGGACAATCAGTTGTTCCCAAGCCACACCTTCATGTCAAAATTGTGCAAGGGGCTCTTTGTGACCAAGGGAACTGGTTTGTTGCCTTGGGCAGAATTCATGACTTCTTGTGCCAGATGTTCTCCGGGCTTGAGGTTAAGGTTATTACTTGCTCCTTTCTGAATCCATCCTTTGCAGGGCAAGCCCCTGGGAGTGTACGGTTGAATGCCCTGAGGATCTGGGGGTAGAAATTAGAGGTTTCAGGTCAAAATGAAGCCCTCTTCTGGACCATCCTCTGGCAGGAGGTTGAGGGGCTTTTTTGGACTCATTAGCATGACGAGGCAGAGAAGTTACGTGGACACAGCGGAGCTCAGTTCTCCCCTCATCAGCCCCTCATGCGTCTGTTCCAGCCTGGGAGTTTACCACGACTTCACGCAGCTGCCTAGTTTCCTCTCCTCCAGAGGTGAGGCCTAACTCCCCAGGCAGCTCTGGGAGTCTACGTCAGGGTTTTTCCATAGTTTTACAGTCTCCCCAGGGTAGGGTTGCCAGATAAAATATAGGATACCTAGTCACATTTGAATTTCAGATAAACAGTGAATAATATTTTGGTGAGTACATCTCTTGCAATATTTTGATTCACTTCAGTTTATCGGTTGTTGACATCCTGCCATATTTATTTCATCCCTCTCTGATATACTTTTTCTTAAATTATTTGAATATAAATTGCAGGCATCACAGTGTGTTGGTCCTGAGTCCTGCAGCATGCATCACCTAAGAATTAAGGCACTTTGGGACATAATCCGTGCAATACTTGGGATGCACTCAAGCTAGCAGCCTCTGTTTTTATTTGCTAATTCTGGCAGCTCTCCCCTGGGGGGTGTGGTCTCCTGGCAGCTGCTAGAGGGGCCAAGCATGGGGTTTGCAAACCCACAGACCTGGACTTGGTCAGATGTGACTTGACTTAACTTGATTTTTCTGTGAACTTGGGAAGGCCAGCACCACCATTTCCTTGTCTGAGAAATAGGAATTTTTACCTTGCAGGGTCCAT